GCTATCATTCGGAGATGGGTGATAGTAATAAACAAAGCCATCGGAAAATTGAGAAGAATCAAGGCCCCATTTGGGGACAGAAAAAGAGTTTTCCGGGAACTTGGGCTGAAAGTAGTGAAACCTTAGAGAAGGTTGTAGCTAGGGATAGCTTTAAAGAAGCTCATTCTCAATCACAGGGAACAAGTTATGGAAGGAAAGGAGCAGGTCCTGCTTGGCCAAAACCCTTGTACCAGCCCAAAACAGTCTCTAAGGAAACGCAGGAGACTAAAAATTCGGAGCAAGGGGATGATCTTGGCGATTTGGCAATGGAGGATGTTTCAGAGATGGAAGATAAGGATATCAATGCAGGCATACAGATTTCGGAAAGTGCTGATGACTTACTAGAGGATGGAGAGTGTCAAGTAGATGAGGAAACTGACAATCAAGAAACAACGGAGGAAATAACTGATGCTGACGGACAGATTATCCCAGAGGGGGAAAAAATTGGTCCTCAAGGTATTTTTTCAGTCCCTAAAGATTTGTCAAATGATATTGATTATGTTAGCCAGGGAATGAATGGTATGGAATTGGATAGTACTAAGGTTCAGAGAAATAAAGGATCTACTTTTCTTGGGGCTAAAGGAATTAAGGGTAGAAATAATTATTCAAAGTTGGTGGCTTCACCGGGGAAAAGATTATTGGCTAATGTGATGTCTCATAAAATTGCAGATGATGTGAGCAAACAAAGAGCTGCGGGTAAGAACAAACCCAAGGAGGGAGCAAAATCTGGAGGTATAAATCGAATGTCTAAGAAAGGGATGGTGGCTCTTCCGAAACCACTGGCTCATACGTGAAGATATTGAGCTGGAACTGTCAGGGAGTAGGGGCTGATCTGACAGAGAATTACTTAAAGGATTTATGGAGATAGCACAAGCCAGACATTTTATTTTTATCAGAAACTAAAAAATGTTTTTCTTATTTACAGAAATTTCAGTCTCAGTTTGGTTTTAATAATTTGTATTCAGTCGACCCTAGCGGTGCTAGTGGAGGCTTAGCTTTATTTTACAATAATGAAATAAAGTTAGAGATTCTTTATGAAAGCAATCGGATTATTGATGTTAAAGCATTTTTCGGGAAACAAATAGTATTTATGTCGTTTGTTTATGGTCACCTTGTTGCCTCAAAACGTGATATTGTTTGGGAAAAAATATCCCGGTTGGGTCTTAATCGGAAAAAACCATGGCTAATGATTGGTGATTTTAATGAGTTGACGGGAAACCATGAAAAGATAGGTGGTAACTTAAGATCCGCTGCTTCTTTTGTTTCTTTTAACCTAATGATTCAACATAACGGTATGTTAGAGTTCCCATGCTATGGTGAACAACTATCATGGAGAGGTAATAGAAACTAACAAATTGTGAGATGTAGACTTGATCGGGCTTTGGGAAATGAGGATTGGCATAAGTTTTTCCCATATTCAAAAGTGGATTATCTGGACATGATTGGTTCTGATCATAGACCAATTCTATTGAGTTGTGAAAAATCTTTGGCAAGAAAAAAAAGACAATTTAGATTTGATAAGAGATGGGTTGGGAAGGATGGCCTTTCAGAGGCCATAGATTCAGGTTTGAATCGAACAAGAAATTTTAGAATTCCTGTTTTTGTGGATAAAATTAAAAATTGTCGAAACTCCATTTCATGGTGGAGGAAAAATAATTTCCCGACAGGCCAGGCAAATATTTCTTCCCTTAAGTTGGCTTTGGAAGAAGCGAAGAATGACGATTCTATTCCGCAAGAGGAGATAAAAAGAATCGAAAATAAATTAAAAGAAGCCTACCATGAGGAGGAAATTTATTGGAAACAAAAAAGTAGGAATTTTTGGTTAAAAGTAGGAGATAAAAATACCAAATTCTTTCATGCCTCCACAAAAAAAAGAAGGGCAAGGAATAAGATATCAAGTTTATATGGTCCTAATGATGTTTGGGAGGAATCAGAATCAGGAATGGTGGAGATAGCAACTAATTATTTTAAAGATCTCTTTACGGTTTCCAATATAGATGGAATCGCTGAGATGGTACAAGAAGTGTCTCCGATTATTACGGAAAATATGAATAGGGAGCTAACCAAAGAGGTTACAGAAGCTGAAGTTAGGAAAGCTTTATTTTCTATGCACCCAGAAAAATCACTAGGCCTAGATGGTATGACGGCTTTGTTTTATCAAAGGTATTGGCAATCCTTAAAGGCAGATTTGGTTGGTTTGGTTAGAGATTTTCTCAGAACAGGTAGTTTTGATAAGAGAATTAATGAAACAAATATTTGTTTGATTCCAAAAACCGAAAGGCCTCAAAGGATGGCAGAGTTTAGGCCAATAAGTCTTTGCAATGTGAGTTATAAGATAATTTCGAAAATTCTATGTTTGCGGCTTAAAAAGATTTTACCACGGCTAGTTTCTGAAACACAATCGGCTTTCGTTTCAGGTAGACTTATTACAGATAATATTTTGCTTGCTCAGGAAATGTTTCATGGATTACGGACAAATAGAATGTGTAAAACGGATTTCTTGGCAATTAAAACAGATATGAGCAAAGCGTATGACAGGATCGAATGGGAGTTTCTAGAAGCGGTTATGTCTCGTTTAGGATTCAATTCAAATTGGATCTCTTGGATTATGTGGAGTGTTAGTTCAGTTTCGTATCAGGTTTTATTAAATGGGGAACCTAGAGGACATATAATTCCCAACAGAGGTTTACGACAAGGCGATCCCCTATCCCCTTATTTGTTTATTTTATGTACAGAGGTCCTGATTGCTAATATTAAAAAAGCGGAACGAGAGAAGAGGCTGACCGGAATTAAAATAGCAAAAAGCAGTCCTCCTATTTCACATTTGCTTTTTGCGGATGATAGTCTATTTTTCTGTAAAGCAGATATGGAGCAATGTAAAACAGTGATGGATATTATTGGAAATTATGGTAAAGCTTCGGGGCAAGAGATAAATTTTAATAAATCTTCGATCGTGTTTGGTCATCGTGTACCAAACCAAAAAAAAGAGGAATTGAAAAATTTCCTTGGAATTACAAAGGAAGGTGGAATGGGTACCTATTTGGGTATACCTGAGAGCCTTGGCGGCTCAAAAAGTAAAATTTTCAACTACGTCCGGGAAAGACTTAATGAACGGATTAATGGCTGGTCAGCTAAATATCTGTCAAAAGGTGGGAAAGAGACGATGATTAAGTCAGTTGTGTTGGCTCTGCCAACCTATGTGATGTCTTGTTTTAAACTTCCTCAAGAGTTAATATCTAAGTTAACAAGTGCAATCTCAAATTATTGGTGGAGTTCCAATGGGAGAGACCGTGAGATCCATTGGATTGCTTGGGAAAAATTGTGTATGGATAAAGATAAAGGTGGTTTGAGCTTTCACTCTCTAGACACGTTTAATGATGCCATGTTGGCAAAACAGTACTGGCGATTAATACATTTTCCAAACTCCTTAGTAGCTCGAGTACTAAAAGGTAGATATTTCAGGAATATTCATCCTTTGGATGGAAGAGTATATTTTCGAATGGATGGAAGAGTATATTTTCGACCAAAAGCTTGGTTGAAGTGGGAGCAAGATGGTCCCTAGGTTCAGGTTACAACTTATCGGTCTGGAGAGATCCTTGGCTTCCGGATGTTATTCCACGTCCCGCAAATGGAAGAGGAAAATTGTTACATCCAAATCTAATGGTAAACCATTTAATTAATCCGGTTACTAAAGAATGGCACCTTCCTATTCTACATGAATTTATGGATCCGGTGGATATTCAATTAATTCGAGGACTTACTATTAGTCAAGTTCAGAAGCCAGATAGGCTTATTTGGCATCATACAAACTCAGGGAGATATACAGTAAAGTCAGGCTATCGGCTTGCCCGAGGGATGACTGAATCGATTGAATGGGGTCCAAATTGTAAAATTTTACAAGCACAAGCTTGGAAAGCCAAAGTCCCTCCAAAAATAACACACTTTTTATGGCAAATCGCTTCGGGATCCTTAGCAGTAACTTCAAAATTAGCTCATCGAGGGATTCGGTGTGATATTACCTGTAAAAGATGTGAGATGGCAGAGGAAACAATTAATCATGCTTTATTTGAGTGCCCACATTCTCAAAAAGTCTGGGAATTATCCGAAATACCTATGGTATCAGGTAGTTTTCCTCTAAGGTCGGAATTCTCTAATCTAGACTATCTTTATTGGAGGATACCACATCCTGTAGATGGGGCGGAGAAATCTTACTGTTATGCTTGGATTTTGTGGTTTATATGGAAAGATAGAAATAAGAAGGTTTTCAAAGGAATACAATCTGAACCCACAGATATTTTAAATCACGCTTTGAGTGAAAAATTAATGTGGGAAGAAGCTCAATTGGATCCAATGGAAGATAACACTATGACGGAAATTATGGAAAGCCCAATCCAATCTATAAAATGTCGGATTGATGGTTCTTGGAAATCTTCGGACCCAACTATGGGTATAGGATGGTGGTGTTTTCAAGGAACTGATCAAACTTTGCTGCTTGGTGCAAAATGCCTTCGGAGATGTCCCTCCCCCCTTCACTCGGAGTTGGAAGCTTTAATTTGGGCTATGAAGAATATCCTTTCAAGAAGAATTGATTGTCAGGCTTTTGAAACAGATTGTTCTGAGTTAGTCTCGATGGTTCAGTCTCCTGAAGAATGGCCCCCATTCTCCAATCTGCTAGACGAGTTGGAGTTGCTATGTGTCTCTTTTCCCTTTTTCTCGCTTTCTCTTATTTCTCGTTTATGTAATATTAAAGCGGACTGTTTAGCCCGTTCTTCTAGACTTCTGTTTTTTGATGTTACTTTTGTAAACTCTTTTCCTCCTAGTTGGGCAACCAATCATGGAGTTACTTTTTAATGAATGTGTGGTTGATAAAAAAAAAAAAAAATATGAAATCTAAATAACCAAATGATTTAATTTATTTATTTTATTAAAACAGTAATTCAGTCAACTCAATTTCCATATTATTTTTTTTCCCTTCTTGTAGCTTCCGCTTTCTGCAGCATGATCTATTTAAAATAAAATGAAAAAGGGAAAAGTGGGAAATCGATGCGTCAATCTTAGGTCTCAATTATTTCCTCTTCTTCGGTGATTTCTGGGCAAGATGCTCTGATTTGGGCAAGCAACTCTGTCAATGGATTAATCTCGTTTCGAAATTTCTGAGTTTGCTCAATGTGAGTGAATTTGTTCTTCGATTTGTGTTGAATTTCGTCCCTGTGTTAAATTTCAGAAGCGTCTTGTAGTTTGATTGTGAAACTTAGCTTCTTGAGTTACTTCGTTGGAATTTTGGAGTTAGGGTTTGCTTTTACATGTTTAATCTTTTATCGAGTGGTTGGTAGAATAAGTGGATCTCGCTACAATGCTTCTGATCATCAACTCGAAGAAGCTTTGATTGATTGATGTAAGTTTGTAACTGTGATCTGCATTATAGAAACTTAAGCTGGGGATGGTTTCCCTTCGAATTGATACATGTGTCTGACTTGTGAAGTTGCTAGATGACGGATGATGATTTCTGAGATACCGCTGGGAGAGGAGTCTATCCGGCAGGATCTTGAGGTTTTAACCATGTCGAAGCGGCTTGTGAAAAGTGTTAGCCAGAAGTTGAAGAAAAAGATTCATAAATCGGAGGTGGTGGAAGATGAAGTGGATGCAAGGGGAGCGGTTAATTGTCTAAGCATCAGTGTTAGTTGCAGAGTTGCTGATACAGGTGAGAATTTTGAGGATCGTACTGATAAGAGGTTTTCCAGTGCTAGTGAGGAGGGTAAGGGATTATTGATGACCATATGCGGAACTGAAGAAACTAGGTTGGATTGCTTTTCTTATGGGGTTAAAGAGAGATTCTGGAAGAAGCATAATAGAAAATATTTAGTCGACTCGGCCCAGGATTATCGGAAGCACATATTCCTTCCTGACGATATTCTGGAAATGTGCTTGATGAGGCTTCCTTTGACTAGCCTATTGAATGCACAGCTTGTTTGCAAGAAATGGCGATCCATGGCCACCAACCAGCGGTTTCTCCAGATTAGACGAGAAGGCTCCTTTCAAACCCCATGGTTCTTTCTGTTTGCTGCTCTTAAAGATGGCTGCTCCTCTGGTGAAATTCACGGGTATGATGTATCTCAAGAAAAATGGCATAGTATTGAATCTGATCTACTTAAAGGGCGGTTTATGTACTCCGTGACGAGCATCCATGAGGAGATTTATATAATTGGAGGTCGTTCTACGGATAGGAACTCTTTCAAGTCCCACAGAGGTATCTTGGTATTCAGCCCTTTAACCAAATCATGGCGTAAAATTGCATCTATGAGATATGCTAGATCACTTCCCATTGTTGGTGCCACTGAAGTTACTTCAGAATTCTCGACCATACAGACCCAACATAATCGCCAACATAGACGCTTTTACCTGTCAAGAAGTGGCGGGGAATCAGACGTTTATGAAGACCCTCACAGGCTATCGGTAAGACGACAGAACAGAAACTTGTCTGATCAAAATGGAACTAAATCCCACAGATTAACAAGACAAAAGCTTGATCGGCTTAACCGAAACAGCTCCAAGAGAATTGTGCTCATTGCCATAGGAGGCACTGGATTGTTCGATGAGCCACTTGATTCAGGTGAAATGTACGACTCATCAACAAACGCATGGTCAGAAATTCAGAGACTCCCAATGGATTTCGGGGTTGTAAGTTGTGGGATCATATGCAATGGAATCTTCTACGCTTATTCTGAGAATGATAAGCTATCAGGGTATGACATTGAGAGAGGCTTCTGGATTGCGATCCAAACCCCAATCCCTCCTCGGGTTCATGAGTTCTACCCTAAACTCGTCTCCTGTAACCATCGGTTGTTCATGCTCTCAGTCTCATGGTGCGATGAAGGAGATGGACAAATTGGGAGGAGAAACAAAGCGGTGAGAAAGCTGTGGGAGTTGGATCTTGTGTACCTCACATGGACCGAGGTTTCAGTACACCCGGATGCACCAATGGATTGGAACGCCACATATGTCTCAGACCAGAACATAGTAATGGGAGTTGAGATGTTCAAGATCTTTGGGCAGGTATTAAGTTTCTTCACTGTCTGCGATATATTAACGGAAGAAGCTTCTTGGAGACATGTTTCGAGGAACCAAAGGAGTCAAAAACTTAATCTATCTTGTATGAACAAGACCATTGCCTTGCTTCATCTCTGATCTTTTTCAATTCATTTTTATAACTTTCAGGACTCAGTCAAAATTGATTGATTCATGTATTGAAAAGAAATGCAATGTGCTAGTCCCTTGTGATTGATTTGATATGTAATGTTTATACTTTTACAGAATTTGTTCTGCAATTCCTTTGGAGTTAGGAATATTTCGGCATGTTTAGCTGATTAACGACGAGGGATAAAACAATAGTGAATCTTTTGAGATAATAATAACTAGTTTTAATATTTATTTTAGGTTTTTTTAGTAATAAAACCCCTCAACTAAAAATAGATGGTAAGAAAACCCCTTAATTATTTTTATTTAGTGAAAAACTTCTTAACTTAAAATCTGTTAATGCAAATCCCCATCTTTCTACAGGATCCTGAAAATTGGGCGGACTAGGGTCAAATTAAAACGCAATTACTTTATCTTTTAATACTATGTTTTTTTTCTCATCTAATTCGTTCGTTGTTTCTCCCAAATTTGAACATACCACTACTCTTTCTCTCTAGCCTTTCAAGTCTATCTCTCTCTCATTTTATCTCGGTGGGCAAGGCTTAATTGGTCACAACAGTAGTTTTAGATTTTTGGCTACACATATTAGGCTGTAGATGTTTTTGATGTGGCCGTAGAATTATGGCTGTGATTTTTTAGTGATTGGTAAATATTAGTTATAAGTTGTAGATTTATATTTTTCATTTTATTTTTAAATGATTTTTTGATATATATGTATAAGAAATTGTAAATTTTTATTTACTATGGATATAATATATAATTTATTAATGATATTTACTATGGTATTTATAAATATAAAAATATTTTTTGTAATATATATATATATATATATATATATATTACGTATAAGAACATGTGTAAAGTTTTAGCCGAAATAGAATTAGTTTTATGTTTTTATACGTGGTTTGGTAAAATAATGTAATTATAATCTAATGTAGAATTATAGAAGTAAGATTTTGTGTTTTTTTTTTTTCAAAAATTCCAAAGTATCATTCTTTGTGCGGTGGGAAATAGTTCATATAGCAAAAAAAAAAAAAAAAAAAAAAAGAGTGGGTTGTGAGTTTGGATAAAGCAAAACAAAGACATATTGGTTTAGTTTTATGGCTGTGAGAATTTTTTTTTATCTGTGTACAGATTCTAAAGTCATTGCTAATCAAGCCTTTTATAAAAATGATTAGGTTTTGAATTTGTTATTATTATATATCTCAAATGTTGAAATCGAAGGCAGAGATTCCGATGTTGTGAACCATTAAACTCGTTCTATTATTCTTTCAACAACTACCCTTCCGCTACTCCAGTGAGGATTGAGAAATGCTCTTTACATTGAATTATATAATATATGTTTTCTGTTATTTTCAGAAATTTGAAATGTCTCTTTTCTATCATTTTGTGAATGTTGATTCTGACAACAAAACAAATTCACTAGCCATTCTAAAACATTTTTATGTTAGAAATTATGTCCTTTAATGCAAATAAATTTCGAGAAACAATCGCAATATAAAGTTAGATTTTTTTTATTTCTTAAATTTAAGGGTTTCAACATATAGGTCATACTCTGTAGATTTATCAAAGTGTTGGACACTCCGTTTAGTTTCATACACATAGTTTGAGAATGGAAGAAACAACACTTAAAATCTAGTGGATTAAGGGCAGAACCCTTTTTGCGATATACATTTTGGAGATATGATAAAGAGAAACTATAAAGCACATCGTTTTTATCACATTACTTAGAGGAGAAGATAAATAAATTTGGACCACCACAGACAAATTAGATTACATATATATAATTTAATAATACGTGAAAATTGACTGCAATCTCCAAAACCGGAGATAACCACTGCTTCAATCTTCAATTGACTTAATCTGACCAACCAAACCAACTTCCGAAAATTGAATCAGAACATTAACCAACAACAAAGATTTTTGATTTCAGATTGAACGAATGACATGAGAGACATGCAAGATGGAATGAATCTCCTCTACACAATAAATATAATTTTGAGGGTAGACATGCCCTATTAAAAATGACCATCAATACATTTTTACATCAATATCCCATGTATTTTAGCAAAAATAATACAAATCTAACATTAATCTACAAATACTTAATAAAAATGAAAATTTTAGTAATTTTTTAATTTGGCCGAAATCTTCACTGTCTATAGCAAAATTGCGTAAACTACTGTAGTGACTTTGTGTTGATCAGTCATCTCGTCTGCAATAAAAATTCGTTTGCCCAAAGTTGTCGTTGACAACTTAAACTAAAAGATAGATGGATGGAATTAAATATAAAAAAAATTCACATATACTAATACATTTGTAAATCTTATTTTTTGAAACTTTCTTTTCTTTAACCAAAGATAAAAACTAACCAAAAAAAAAAACACATACTTACATATACGAATTTATGTGTGCCAATTGGTCGATCATATATTGACATGTGATAAAATTAGTATTTCTGATATTACTACATTTGGAAAAACAAAATAAGATATTTAAAACAATGTTAATTTTTCATTTGTTCTTTTTTGTCATATTTTCACTCCCAAATACACATCCTAATCTAGTAAACTATAAAACTCTAAGTTGTAATTTTTAAAAATTTTAAAGTGAGGGCGTGACTTGAAAAAATGGAGAATTTGAAAATGCTCCTTTAATAGTACCCATTTTTCATACGTACCCCAAAATGTTGTTCATTTTTAATTATACCTATTTTACAAGGTTTTATAAAGATCTTAAAATACTTTAAAAAGATGATTATAAAATCTAATTAATATTGTTTTACATGTTTTTTAATGATTTTATAAAGATTTTAATAAGTTTTATAAAGATGAGTTGGAGGTCTAGTCATCGATTGTACCGTCATAAACAATGAGAGATTTTTAAAAAATGTCTTTTTTTGAAAATATTCTTGGTAGAGGACAGTTTTGTAAAGGAGTACAACAAGCATTTCTCAAAAATATTTGAAAAAATCATCTGTCTAACAGAATCCCAAACGTTGGCATATAAAAAGATAATCTAGAATGCTAGAGACTTCTTTGGGCTGTGAGAAAATATAGGATAGTTAAAACTTAATTGCCGAAAAGATGTGAAAGATTTATTTCTATAAACTTATAAAGTCACTACGGTTAAACATCACTAACAATGAATGGACACCAAAATGAACCAAAGAAATATGAAAACTTTGTTTTATTTGGTATAAAGTTTTCAAGTTCCAATTGTAATTACTTTTTCTCCTAGTTTCGATAGTAATCTGAACACAGTTCTATCCCTAGTGGTAGAGCTGCTAAACATCCCGAAAATATTAAATTATAAACATTACATTTCAAATCAATCTAAGGGACTAGCACATTGCATTTCTTTCCAATACATGAATCAATCAATTTTGACTAGTCCTAAAAGTTATAAATATGAATGAAAAAAGATCAGAGATGAAGCAATGCAATGGTCTTGTTCATACAAGATAGATTAAGTTTTTGACTCCTTTGGTTTCTCGAAACGTGTCTCCAAGAAGATTCTTCCGTTAGTATATCGCAGACAGTGAAGAAACTTAATACCTGCCCAAAGATCTTGAACATCTCAACTCCCATTACTATGTTCTGGTCTGAGACATATGTGGCGTTCCAATCCATTGGTGCGTCCGGGTGTACTGAAACCTCGTTCCATGTGAGGTACACAAGATCCAACTCCCACAGCTTTCTCACCGCTTTGTTTCTCCTTCCAATCTGTCCATCTCCTTCATCGCACCATGAGACTGAGAGCATGAACAACCGATGGTTGCACGAGACGAGTTTAGGGTAGAACTCATGAACCCGGGGAGGGATTGGGGATGTTTGGATCGCAATCCAGAAGCCTCTCTCAATGTCATACCCTGATAGCTTATCATTCTCAGAATAAGCGTAAAAGATTCCATTGCATATGATCCCACAACTTACAACCCCGAAATCCATAGGGAGTCTCTGAATTTCTGACCATGTGTTTGTTGCTGAGTCGTATATTTCACCAGAATCCAGTGGCTCATCGAACAATCCAGTGCCTCCAATGGCAATGAGCACAAATCTCTTGGAGCTGTTTCGGTTAAGCCGATCAAGCTTTTGTCTTGTTAACCTGTGGGATTTAGTTCCATTTTGATCAGCCGAGTTTCTGTGCTGTCGTCTTACCGATAGCCTGTGAGGGTCTTCATAAACGTCTGATTCTCCGCTCATTCGTGACAGGTAAAATCGTCTATCTTGGCGATTATGTTGGGTCTGTATGGTCGAGAATTCTGAAGTAACTTCAGTGGCACCAACAATGGGAAGTGATCTAGCATGTCTCATAGACGCGATTTTACGCCATGATTTGGTTAAAGGGCTGAATACCAATATCCCTCTGTGGGACTTAAAAGAGTTCCTGTCCATGGAACGACCTCCAATTACATAAATCTCCTCATGGATGCTCGTCACAGAGTACATAAACCGGCCTTTAAGTAGATCAGATTCAACCCTATGCCATTTGTCCTGAGAAACATCATACCCATGAATATCACCGGAGGAGCAGCCATCTTTAAGAGCAGCAAACAGAAAGAACCATGGGGTTTGAAAGGAGCCTTCTCGTCTCATCTGGAGAAACCGCTGGGCGGTGGCCATGGATCGCCATTTCTTGCAAACAAGCTGTGCATTCAATAGGCTGGTAAAAGGAAGCCTCATCAAACACATTTCCAGAATATCATCGGGAAGGAATATGTGCTTGCGGTAATCCTGGGCCGAGTCCGCTAAATATTTTCTATTATTCTTCTTCCAAAACCTCTCTTTAACCCCATAAGAAAAGCAATCTAACCTAGTTTCTTCGGTTCCGCAAATGGTCATCAATCCCTTACCCTCCTCACTAGCACTAGACCACCTCTTATCACTACGATCCTCAAAATCCTCACCCGTATCTGCAACTCTGCAACCAACACTGATGCTTAGACAATTAACCGCTCCCCTTGCATCCACTTCATCTTCAACCACCTCGGATTTATGAATCTTTCTCTTCAGCTTCTGGCTAACACTTTTCACAAGCCGCTTCGACACGGTTAAAACCTCCAGATCCTGCCGGATAGACTCCTCTCCCAATGGTTTCTCAGAAATCATTATCCGTCATCTAACAACTTCACAAGTCAAACACATGAATCATGCCAAGAAGACCTGCAAATATCATAATTACGATCCACGAAAATCAAATTTGATAGCACCAAGAGAAATAATCGAAGCAAATTGATCCACCTATTTTACGAACCAATCAGTCAGAGATTAAACATGTAAAAGCAAACCCTAAATCCAATTTCCGACAAAGTAACATATTCATACAAGCTCAAGAAACTACAAAACGCTTCTGAAATTTCACTTTTCCCCAGAAAGTAACCACAGAGGGACGAAATTGAAGAACGATTTCACTTACATTGAGCATTAGGAGATTCGATGTTCAAGTTTAGAACAGTTTCACTTATTCACTCAGGAGATTCACACACGGATAGAGTTCTTTCCCCAAATCCAAAGCATCGAAGAAAATTGAGACTTGGAAGAGCTAAAAAAGAAGGAACGATTTCACTTTCCCTTTTCGTTTTATTTTTTAATTTTTAAATCAAAAAGACAAAAGCTAGAATTATAGTCTTTCTCGCAACTAAAATAAAATATAAAAACATATTAATTTTGGAAGTTAATTGTTATTAGCAAAATATAAGGGGTTTAGGCGACCGTCTAAATAGTATGAATTTTTATTAAATAAATATCGTTTTTTGAATTTTTTTGCACCATTCTTTTAAATTAGCTAATTTTTTCAAACTTTATGATGTTAATTTGAAAAAAATCGGTGCTTAAAAATGATAGTTCTAACCCTAAACACTTTAGGGTCGGACTCGTTTAAACGTAGTGGGTGTGATGCGGTTGTGGATGTAGGATTCACACTCGATTGTCTTTAAGTATTTTTGTGAAGAAAAACTCTAAAATCAACAAATGAAAATATGGAATTGAAAAGGGAAGTAACCAAAAAACTAAATAAAGCGAAAGAACTTGGAAAGAATAAAATAGTAAAAAGCCTTGCAAAATTGTAAAAGAAAAAGTATGTTGTATTGCTTGATCGTAAGAGGAAAAAGTTGTTCTCTCCCCAAACACACGCGTTTGAGGTTGTTTTTATAGAGAAAACATGATCAATGCGGTCATTTACTGCTCATAATTGCATTGATCCGCATTAATCATGTAGGTTACAATTTGACCGAAACGGCTTGAATTTGAACTATCTTGGGCTTCGCGTGGATCTTCTGAACCCTTTCTTGTTGACTCCGAACTCCTGCGTCTTGACGCTGCCGCGAACCTCGAGCAATATTCTCCTCGCTTCGGCCTTCTTTTATGCGAACTATAAGTTGAATAAGAGCGAACTCCGTACTGGTAAAGATCGAGCTCTTTAATAAACTGAATCAAACTTCCGACAGGTCGAGCTCGATTCTCGAAATGAAACATCTAGAAATCCAAGAGGATTATTATGTAATAATGACGTGGACAGATCCAAGTGGATCCTACCGAAGATGTGTGGGATCCGACCCCAACATTTAGCCCCCCAAGTCTTGCGAGCTGAGTGCTCGGCTTGGAAGACTTAAGTAAACTGTAATTAATGACTCGAGATCTTTAACATTCCGGAATTACTCCATGTTTTTCGCTATTACGCTGATCTCGGATAATCAGATGATTTGATTTCCCTGACAACCGTCATCATTAATTTCTTAATTTTATATTAATACCACGGGGAAAACTGTCCCACTTCCCAATATTCTCGAGGCGGTCTTTCATCATACTTTAGGGTTCTAAGAGGTAATATTACTTTTCCATCTTATCTTCTTTACCTAAAAAACCTTCATTCTTATTACGGAAGTCACTGTTTTCTTTCTGGTAAAAAATCCCTTTCGTAAAATATCGAACCTTTCTTCCGAATTCTGCGAATACGAGGCTGACGATCTCGAAGCTCTCATGGGTGAAGGGTCCGAATCCCAGATTCAAACCGGAGATGGGTTTGATCTTCACCCCCAGAGTGAATTAACTATAGATTCTCTCAACAATCTTCGTAGACTATGTCTCATCCCCCCTGAGGTAGAGATGGTAGTCCCGGAGCCCTTCGAGTCTCCAGAGTCGGGGCAAGAAGGTTACTACTGTGCCTATGAAATTTATTTCAAAGGGTGCGGCTTATTCATTCCCCTTCCTGAGGTGCTTCTCGTCTACCTCAACCATCTGGGAATTGCTTTCTCCCAGATGTCGCCCAACATGCTCCGGTATCTTTTGTGTACCCTCATTGTTGCGGCGGAGGCGGACTACTCATTGGGACTTTGCGAACTCCTGGAACTTTTACAAGCTCGCGAATCCCGAACTTCTGGGTATTATACCCTTTATCCAAACGCGGATCGGAATCTCATTGATGGCCTTCCTTTAAAGGACACCGCCTGGAGGAAGTTTTGGTTCTTTTTCCGCATAAATAATTTTTCTATTCAAAGTTCTTCCAAACTCCCTCGAACTCACTGGTCATCGAATTTGGGTAGAAATTGGGACTTAACTGAATAAGCTCCCTTTGTTATTTCAAACTGTGTTTCAACATTTTTTTTTTTGTTTTCTCGCAGGTCCTCAGATTTGACCAGTTCCATCCGTCGATTTTCTCAAATTTTACAAGGCCATCTTGGAGAGGCCAGTTAATTGGAATTCTTTTACTCTGGAAAGAATTCACGGCGCCGGGTTTTCTGTCAGAATGACACTTACTCGCCCCGTCGACCCTCCTCCTGCTGAGATTGATCTCTCGAGTCTGAATGCCCGAGACAGGAGAAAGATCAAAGAGGCAAACAAAAAGGTTAAAGATCAGATTTCTCTGATCGGGAAAAATAAGAAAAACGCAACTTCCACCGAGGACGACAAAGTCTACCGGAAAACTCTCCTTGTTGACGATGGATCTCTTGAAGGTTCAAAGTCAATGGCGGTTGTTGTGATCAATGCTTCTCCCTCCATCCCAGCACCAGACAACATGGCCGCTACCACCGTTGAGGAGGAAGGCCTTGCAAGTGACACTTCTCTTATGAAGAAGAGGAAGGCTGAGGAACTTGGACCCCTGCCCCAGGGACGTCCCAAGAGCACAAGGAAGGGCAGAGCCGCTCCTTCGAATCTTCCAATTCCTGAACCTGGTGAAATCAGGATGCAAATCCTGATTCAGAAACTGTTTTGAAGGAACCGCTGGGTTCAGGGATGTTACCCCCTAGGCGCCCCCGAGGCAATACCTCTAGATTTCGATCATCTTCGAACTCAGGACTGGTTGCCAGAGCTTCGTCTCAAGCCGGTAACCTTTAACTATCATTTTGTTGTTTGAGATTAATAGATTCTTTCTTTTAAAGAAAACTCAATTCTCACACAACTAACTTTATTCCAGATAAAGAGAAGATCGGGAATATGTTTAGGTGCTTCCACACCCGTGTTGGGAAGAAGCTTCCATCCTTTGATTGGTGGAAGCCTGATATCAAGAAGATGTACATCAGTCATTCATTTCACTCTTCCCAGGTTTGACTGTTTGCATCTTCAAACAGCCGATTTTGAAAGAAAATATATATATATATATATATATATATATATATTTGTTTTTAACGATGAAACTTCTTTTATTAGGCAACTTTGGATGTGAATGGCATTGTGAACTTTTACGAAGAGGAGCTCGCCAAAGTTTCCAAGAAAGTTGCTGCCGCTGAAGGAGAGATTGAAAAACTGCAATCTTCCAGTCGGCTTGTGCAGGAATCTGGTGGCCTTGACTCGGCTCGCCAGGAAGAGATCGAGAGACTCGAAAGATCTGGCGAGGAGACAAGGAGGACTTTGATTGAGACAGAGCAAAAGCTAGAGACTGCCCTTGCTGATCATAACTTCGCAAAAGGCGAGATTGAGCTTCTGAGATCAGAGCTTAACAAGGTTAAAGCAGCTGCTGAGGAGCTCGAACGCAAAAATGAGTCTCTTTCCGAACTGAAAGATCGCGATGTTCGCAAAATATCTCATGATGCTCGGAAGGAGGTTAAGGGAGCTGGGCAAAAGTTTCTTCTTGCTGTGCAGGAATTTATCGCTGTAGACAAAGCTTGGAACAAGCTTAACTCCGAACGCGATGAAATGAAAAGCAATCTCGATTTGATCAAAGAGATAGAGGACGGAAAAGTCAATTTGGCTGAAGAGTAAGAGACGGTTGGTGCTGAGCTAGCTGAGACTGTAGCTAAGCTAAATACCGCTCCTCAGCCATATCTGAATTTGTAGCAGTTTGCTTCTGAATTTGCTGATTCCCCTCCATTGACCGAACCAAACATTGGTTCGTCCTTGGACGAGATGGTGTTAACCGGTTCTCCTCGCGCTCATTTTAATGAGTTCGGAACCAATGTTGACAGAATCTCCTCGGGACGAGCTCAGGGGCTCTCTGATCAGGAGCTTGTCATCTCCTCGATTATGGGAGACGGTGTTGAATCGAGGAACGAGACTCCTCTCGATGCTAGCTAGCTTAACCCTGAAGTGGTTCTCGTGACTCAAGACGATGACGTTGGGGGTGCTCTTGTCTCAAGTCAAGTAAGGGAAGAAGGCGGTTCGCCTGTGAATGAGTGATGGTGATTGCATTCACCTTATGTGGGGATTGTCCCTTTAATTTAAAGACATGAAATTCACTTTGTTGGCCATGGGGCCATTTGTTTTTTTTCCAAATTTTCTGCCCGAGGGGGCTTCTATTACTGTTTTGAATAATTTGCCCAAGGGGGTTTTCGATTAAAATTTCTTTAGGAAGAAATATTTAATCTTGGTGGAAACCATCGATTTTACCTGGAGGGTTTGCAAAGTCCTCCTAATCGAAGTGGTTCAGGATTATAGGAGAGATAGGCTGATCAGACCTACTTGCCTCGGTCTCTCGGTTGCGAGGTTAGAACTCGGCTTACAAGAACACTTTGCGATATTTCAAATGTGTTCGATTAGGGAAATCTCTAGTGAGAACTGTTTGCTTTTCCTAAGAGATAAAAAGGTGTGATACCATTTATTGATTGTCTTCGAATTTCGAGTTCGAAATTAAGATCGCCTACTAGGTGTTAAGTGATACTTGAATAACCTATATTTCGTAGGTCTTATTTGTGCATGTACACGAGAACCGAGAGGTCATAACAGTCATATCAATAGATTGACGTTTAACTTTCTTTTTCAATAAATACTCGAGTGAGTGCCCTTACATACTTTTTCTATATAAGGAGAGTTGGATTTTGGAAATTTTCCGATAGATTTTTTTTTAAAGAACTTTGTAATTCTTTTTTTTTAGATCAAAGATGACTTCTCACCAAGGCGAACCTTCCGGTCCTAACTCACCACGATTCCCTTCAAGTGAATCTCTTTTCCCGTCGGGGGATGGATTCACTCCACAAGGGGTGGCTATTCCTTGTTTTCTTCCTTCCATGTCCCGGGAGGAACAGATCGAGTGCCATGAATTCATGGAACAGGTTTGAACCTAGTACCAATAGTTTCAAGGTTTTACTTAATAAATTCGTAATGTATCTGTTATTTACAGATCACGGAAAGATACGTTTTCCTCTGCTCTGAAAGGCAACGTCTTGGAGTGAAACGCTGTATCCTTGAGGATCGGATTGCTAGAGCAGAAAGGAAGATCCGACGTTTGGAGTCGGACGTTCACAACTGGGAGAGGAGGGGATTTGATTCTATCGCCCGCATTCCCGGCTGTCTTCGAGAACACATTATGTTCCTGAAGAAGCATTGGGATATCTACCAAAGGAGCCTCAAACCCGACGAACGCGAAGATGGTTCGCCATCAGACGAAGTTCCTCCTGCGAACCCCCCTCCTTCTTAGTTTTTTTATATTATCTAGAAACTATTGGGCTAGAGGCCCAACAATATTAATTACATTCCCCTTTTGCTTTTAAATTCGCCGTTTAACTCATCATATTTAATGCGTTTATTCTAGGGAATATAATTAGTAATTAACTCGATTACATTTTCCATGGAAGTCGTAATTTCAGATTATAAAGTGGGTGTAGTCTGTCATTGAATTTCAATAACAATTCTACAAAAATGTTCAAGGGAGGTAACTCAGCAGAGAATCCTTCAGACTTGTTCAAAGTGATGAGTGTTGATCCTTCGAGGACGTCGGACATCGAGCTTATAAGAGCAGGAGAGTCCGGCGAACCAAAAGATTCACAAATATTGAAGAAGGGAACTAGCATTCAGGTTCCGATCGTTCTAATCGAGAGATTGTTGCCTCAAGATCGTGTTAAGGCTGAGGAGTTTATCAATAAGGTATTTTCCATCCTAGTGATTAACTTCTTTTTGTTATTGCTAAACGTAGCGTTTTATTTTCTTCAGCTTATCACTCGGCATGATGAGCTCGAAGATGAGAAGAAAAAGATTAGGAAACGGATAATGGAGCTAGAGAAGCGTCGCCTCGATATATCTCGCGAGCTTCATCGCCTCGAATCCCATCCTTCCGATTGGATCGAACAAGGACTTCAGGAGTACGAAAACATGCCAGGTTGCATTATGAGCATCGTTGACTTCGCTGGTCAAGGAGCGGAGTTGTTCCGTAATTCAAGACCCTTCTAGATCCGGTCTAAGCTTAGCAAGAAATATTTATTTATACATTGTTCGCAACATATCTTTATATTCATGCTCGAATATCGAATTTATAAAAACAGGATTCCATGACTGGAATAATATTTTTATTTTTATGTTATAGCTGGACTCGTGATTAGCGAGCTGCCTACGTACCCATAATGGGATCAAGCCAAATCATAGTTTGAACGTGTTTGCTTTAGCAATAGAACTTTTTCAAGTTGATTATGTTCCAAGGCTTTTGAACGGGATTTCCATCAAGGTCTTGTAAACGGTATACACCGTTTTAGATTTTTTCAGCGATTTGATAAGGGCCTTCCCAGTTAATACCAAGTTTTCCAGCTCCTTCTTCTTTTGTATTATCGAACACTCGCCTTAAAACAAAGTCTCCTACATATAAAGGTCTATTTTTCAACTTTGAGTTATAGTATCGAGCGGTCAACTGTTGATAATTCTGAAGTCGAATAAGGGATTGGTCTCGCCTTTCATCGATTGTATCGAGAACGTCTTCTAATAATTTAGAATTCGACTCTTCGTTAAGTGGAGCTTCGCTTCGGCGCAAACCTGGGACATTTAGCTCGGCCGGGACTACGGCTTCCATCCCATAAACTAGTGAGAATGGAGTTTCGCCCGTTACCCGCCTCGGGGTTGTTCGGTAAGCCCACAACACAGGTTGCAGCTCGTCATACCATCCACCTTTTCGAGCACTCAAGCGTTTTTTAAGATTGCTGAGAATGGTTTTATTGGAGGCTTCCGCTTGTCCATTTCCTTGAGGATACCTCGGCGTTGAGTAGCTAAGTTTTATTCCCCAAGCGGAACAAAAATCTTCAAAATCATTTGAAATGAATTGAGGACCATTGTCCGTTACTATTTCGTAGGGAACTCCATAGCGACAAATAATGTGTTTCCACAAGAATGTCTTTACTACGGAATCTTGTATGCTTATATAAGCTTCAGCTTCAATCCATTTGGAAAAATAGTCCGTTAGAACAAATAAGTATTGGATGCCTCGTGTTGAACGATGCATCGGACCGATTATATCCATCGACCACCTCATGAAAGGGTATGGAGCGGATATATGTGATAGAATTTCAGATGGCTGGTGAATAAGAGGAGCGTGCATCTGACACTTTTTACACCGTTTGGCGTAATCAATGCAGTATGAAATCATAGTTGGCCAGAAATATCCTAATCGTTTGATTTTGAAAGCCATTGCTCGCCCCGAAGAATGACTACCACAAAGCCCTTCGTGGACCTCGCTTGTCACTATTTCAATTTCGGGTCCGAAAATACATAAAAGATAAGGATCACTAATGCTCGCTTGTACAATGACTCTTTAATTATACAATACTTAGCGCTGATGATTCTTAATTTGCGAGCTTGCCATTTGTCAGATGGTAGTTCTCCATTAAGACTGAAATTTTTGATGGGTACCCTCCAGTCAGCCCCCCAATTGTGGAAGTCGGATTCGCACACTCAAGTATTTTTATTAAGTAGGAGAGATTACTCTTGAGGGACAAAAATGAATATGTAAAAAGCTTATGAATTGCTACAAAAATTGCTATAGTATTTCTTATTCAAGAAGAAGATCCCCTTTACATGGCCATTCGCCCTTATATTTATACATAGAAAAACGTCAATTAAATGGCTAATTAAGTACAATTATTCTCTCTTAAATGTGTCCGTTTTGATCTTTGATTTTAATGCTTAACGTTCGAATTTGAGTTGATTCCGATCTTCATGGGCCTCGCCTTTTGGCCCAAATATCCTTGGACCGACTTAACAGCGACTTCGCCTCCGGACTTGTATCGAGGTGCAGTCACTTCGGATTCTCCTTGTGGTGATAACCACTTCGACTGTTCCTTTGACTTGCGGGTCTAATGGGCTTTATCCCTCATGGGCAGTTATCCTGATTACGTGGCAATCTTTGGTTGGTCCCGGACCTCTGGTGCGGGATTCGACACCAACAATTAGCCCCCCAAGTTCTTCGAAGTGCCATTCCAATTCGGAGGACTTTAAATGCTTTAATGACCAAAGATTGCGTTTCGAGGAATCTTCTGATTTTCCCGCCAAGATCCCGTCAGTCCTTTAATTTCGGCGCTATCCATGTTTAGTCGCGTGACAGCCGGGACTACGGCTTCCATCCCATAAACTAGTGAGAATGGAGTTTCGCCCGTTGCCCACTTCCCCCACGATTCCCAAGGCGGTTTCACCATTATCACTTAGCTTTCGTGAGGTAACTTCTTTCATCATCATTTTTTTACTCTTACGCTTTAATAGAAACTTCTCTCTTCTCTTTCTTCGCCGATTTTCTCTTTGCCGGATTTTAAATTTCTCATCTTCTCCGATGACTTCTGATTCCGAAAGACCCGAATCTCCATCCTTTGAAGGAGGCTCTAGTAACGACGAATGCACTCGTCCTAACGACATTGCTGGTCCTCACTACAGATCCACCTGTACCCTTCAATCCCTAGAGCGATTAAAGGGGCTTTGCCAGATTCCCCCTGGAATCATAGCAGAAGCGCAGATAGCCGATCCTACGGAGTCCCCGGAAAACCACTGCGACAGCTACTTTTGTGTTTATTAAATCTACTTCAAGGGCTGCGGATTGACCTTCCCCCTTTCCGAAGCCCTAGTTCGATACCTGGCGGCTCTTGAGATCGCTTTACCTCAGCTAACCCCCAATCTCCTCCGAACCATCCTCGGGATCATAACCGTTGCGGCGGAAGCCGACTACATTATTGGGGTCCCCGAGCTGAACGAACTTCTAAGCGTGAGAAGTTCGTCAAAGAAAATAGGGTACTTCTCGGCGTATCCAAATGCCAACAAGAACGTCATCTCGCACCTCCCGAACAAGGATGAAAACTGGCACCATCCTTGGTTCCTGATTAAGAAAACTCCTA